AGTCACCCAGCGCCACCCGCCGTCGATATGATAAGTCAAAAGGAGGCCAAAGATTGGGTCAACTGCTGTCTCGCCCTCATCGTTAGGATTCCAGTTCTGATACGTCACTGGTGTCCAATTATCAAAAATGAGCCTTTCATTGTCGGCAAATGTCAAATGTCAAAACATTGGCACGAAATTCAAATGAACCGTTGAGATCAACTTCTGCAGGAAAGGACAAGAGAAAAATTATATCATCCTCAAATTTGAAACACCACATATACACTATGAGTTGTTGCTTTAAATCCTGCATGCTCTAAAAAAATTATAAAATTTGATCTGCTGTATCCAAATTCAATACACATTTGAAGGGAATGTATTCTCATTTTTGCGTCGTGGTATATGTAGCAATGGAATATTTTCTAACGAGCATAAGCAAACCTAGGCCAAACCTTATTTTAGTTTGAATAACAAAGGAACATAATGTTTATGGATAAAATTAGAAATTAACAATTTTGATACACTGCAAAAATATATTTTCCATATTTAATGCGCAGTTTTTTTATCTAAAAGTTTAAAATCAGATTTGTAGAAAGCAAAAAAATAAATAAATAAATAAAAAATCTTACTCTTTATCAAAGGTGATTAAATATATATATTTTTTATAAAGGAAATGCATATTAGGGAAATTTTACAAAAATATTTTTTTTTGTTATTGTATGCATGTGATAAAAATGAAAGCATGTTATAAATAAATTGCTTAATTATATATCACAAGGTATATGTGGTTTACGCCTTAAAACCTCCCAAGAAACAATAGCATGTAATAAAAATTGTTTTAAAGGTCACATTATATATAGTAAAATTACGTGATAATTAGATTGTTTAAACACCCGGACAGAAAAAAAGATTAACCATAACATCTACTATATTCTTTAATTACCGGGATGTATGCGGTTTACGCCTAAAAACCTCCTGTATTCATCCCCATACCAGACCAGAAGCTCTTCACCCGGTTCTACGTCACGTGACTTCATAAAGGAGATGATGCCCTCACACGTGATAGGGATGAAATTTTCCTGTTGATATTTGGAGGGGGACTTGACAAATCGTAACCAGTTACTGCAGGACGGATCTTTTGCATCGATTTTGTAAGGTCCATCGGTCCACTGCTCTAAATTTGAAACAATAAGATCAATGTTATTCAGAAGTAATTTATCGTGCTGAATATCTTAGAATTAGAAGAATCTAAAATAACAAGCATTCTTAGAGTATTGTATCAATAATACTGGTCCCCAACCTGCAGGGGAAACCTGAGACCTGTTAAACTGGGCGAACGTTTGCGAGCGCTCTTAAAAATCTGCATACCTCCTACAGAAATATTCGTGAGCGCTCGCTCGGTGGTACCTGTTGTACAGGCCTTAGGTCGCCTCTAAAAATTTAAAATTCCACAATTTTTTTTTTAAAAGCATCGACAAGAAACAAAAATTAAACTTGATTTAAATCTCATCAAGTTCAAGTCAAAAAATCAGCTCAATATATTCAAGGTTGTAAAAAAAAAAAAGACAATATCAAGAATGCATGTATGGCTAATAAATAATATCTTTTTTACATAACAAACGTTCAAAGTGTGTATCCATGAATGCACTTTTACAGATTAAATGTGTATCCACTTATATATTATTATCATTTTATAAGAGACAGTTTTTATATCTGGAGCCTTTTTTTTATATTAGAGATAGGCTTTATATATGAAATATTAATTTAAGAGAATTGTTTTTTTTTATCTGATGTATCCAGATATGATCAATAAACTTTAAATTGGAAATATTGTTACATGAGAAATACGCTGGATATGTTTAAGATATACAAATGTTTAATTGAATCTCTTAAAGTTCATCTCAGGAAAAAAAGATTCATTCCCGTCTTTCAGTTTAAAAAGTTTCAGCTTTCCGAAAACTTTACACTTAAGTTTGCACCTATTTCAGAGAAAAAAAATTGGAATGTTTAATAAATAGTTATTGTCATACGATGAAATTAAACTATTTATAATAAAACAGTATTCATTTTCGTATGACAGCAGTCTGCAGATTAGGAACTATTAATACTCTTTTTTTTTATGAAAACAAGACAGGAAAGGAAGAGCAACTCCCACACAATCTACTTTATTGAATTTTTTAAACAAGGTACGAAGAAAATGAAACAACGAAACTGTACTATTAAACACATGCAGGGGTTTTAATAAAGGTCTCGCGATCGTTCTTGAAATATGTTTATGCTGATAATTCATACGTTTCCGTTTGTAAATAAAAAAAAATACAACTAAGGCACAAAACATAGGATGGATTAGATATTTTCCTTTTTTTGAAGATATAATGAACTATTTTTAACGGGTAAAAAATACAATCTTTTAACCTATAGGAATTAGTTCATTACATTTTCAAATGTCAAAAAAAAAGCAAGTTACAAATTTGACCTCGTAATTAATTAATTGCTTTCTATTTTTCGTTGTTTTTACATAGTAGCCTAGATATTGAAAAAAAAATAAATGCCTTTATATTAGTGATAGACTTTTATCATATGTATCATTTATTGTAAGAAAGGCTTGTTTTTGTTTTACAAATATCTGATCTATGTTTATCACTTTTTAAACTTTTTTACTTAATTTTCTGATTAAAATCTGATGTGTCCTTATATGAGAAATAAGCTTTAAATCTGAAATATAGTTACATTAGAAATACGCTGTATATTTTATAAGATATACGAGGGTTCATCCAAATGTTCGTGGAATTTCTTTCTAAAATTTTATCGTGATTTGATGAAAGCAAACAACAATCATTTCACTGATTTCCAATTACCAATGAAGTCACGCGAGCTTTCTGAAAATGGAGAGTTGAGAAACCCGGGGGAGACTTCGACGTAACGTCAAATTAGGTATGACACGTCACGTTATAGAAGCAACTCGCCCTAATGTCCAATTTGTATACGTATAATTCTACAAAATGCTGTCGGTTTCTCCATTTTTTTTCTCAAGAAATGCCTGGGTATTCTCTCGCACCAACAGATCTTCATTTCCTAATCGTATTTCAAAATACACCCCATCTTTTCCTATGCTGTTCCAATTCCAGTAGCAATGTCAAGAACAGTATGGCAGCCGACAACGTCCATTAACGCTTTTACTTTGTCTAGGGGGATATGCACTTATAACAGGGCCTCAAAAAAGCGGCCACAGCTTTAATCAACGTCCATGGAAGTTCTATTTTCTAAAATTTCTTATGCCACTGGGAAACCAGTAACTTAATGCATTTTCCCCAAGCCTTTGTCAATAATATGCATGTTTAAGCTAGAGTTACCCCGGAATTTTCACCAAACGTATGACTTGACCGAAATTTTATGTTGTCTAACAACTTAAAGATAAACAATAATTCATCAACTAATAAACTAAATATCAAGTAAAATCAGTAAAACTCTCACACGAAAGTTTATAAAAGATCAAGGAATCGTAATAATGAAATAATTTAATTTTCATTTCAGGTATTGAGACTTAAAATGAAAATAAACGCGTTAATGTCTCCCCCGCATTTCCCAATAACCGTTTCTATGGTAACTGCCATAGAGTTACTATCAAAGATATTTAAACTGTTTTTTTTTTATTTAAAATATTCATCAAGTGTTTATATTTTTATTTGCATTTTTCAACCAATTCCAACTAAAAATAAATAAAATATGAAGAAATTCCCCGAACTTTTGGATCAACCCTCGTACAAATGTTTAATTCGATCTCTTTTATTTCAGGAAATTAAGATTTACTCCCATCATTCAGTTTTAAAAAAGTTTTAAATTTCCAAAAATTTCACACTCAAGTTAAAGTAATTCCCTAGTACTCATACGTCATAAGTATATATAAATAACAAAACCGATATCGGTATAGCTTATCGTTCCGTATTGACCGTTTTGGCTTGACTTTTAGACGGCAAGCTTAATATCCGGTGATGAAAAATAATGGCGCGTATAAAAGGAAAGTTTTGTAAAGCCACGAAGGCGGAGCGATTAGAACAATTAGCGAAGGCCAGGGAAGCACGATGGACTGAAGAACATCATTCGCAGCCCAGCAGTAGTCAGTCTACACCCATTACGGATTTATCTATTCCATATGCTGACCATGAGTAAACGGGCGCTCAGCCGAGTGGCGAAGCCGCCAAAGATTTGATTGAAACGGGGAGTATTGTGGCTCAACAAGAGGAGGTACAAGATGCAGAAGCAACTGAATTTGGGTGGCGTTGTGGTCGACGAATTGTAGAGCTAGGTAAGAAACTACAAATAAAATATATAATTTTTGATTTTTTTATTGGAAATATATGGCCACTCTCAAATCCATTTTTCACAGGTAATAGATTCTTGAATTATAAAGATGTACTTTTTTTTACATATTCAGAAGGTATACATATTTATTAATCAAGACCCAAGTACCTGTGATTTACTATCTAACTTAATACATGAGAAATGATGAACCACAAACTATTGATCTGTGGAGGTAAACAAGGAAATAGAGAAAATTATTATTTATTTTCATAATGTCATATGCTCATTGCTTATTGTTGTAGGGGTTCTTGTGACGGGTTAAAAGCCTGTCAGTTATGTGGCCACCCTCTCCATCTGAAAGATTGTGTGGGTGAGAAGAAATTTGGATTGGCTCACGTTTTGTTGGTGAGGTGTAGCTATATGGAATGTGGGCTGGTGAATGATGTTCCCACAGGAAGCAAGCATAAGACAGGCAACCGTGCAAGTGCATGGGATGTTAACACAAAATTAGCTGCAGGTAAAACTTCCTGAAATTATAACCAAAGTATCCTGAATTGTACAAAGTTTTTCTTAGAATCACTGAACATAAAGTTTAAGACCTTTAATAAGCAATTTATTTTACAGGCATGATAAATGGAGGATTTGGTGAGTCTCATATTAATGGATTGTTATCTGCTTTGAACATTCCTACACTTACACAGGCAAGCTTGAAGTCCAGAGAACGAGAAATTACACTTCATCTCAACAAAATGGCAGAGGACAGTTGTAATAAACATCTCGATGAAGAAATAAGCTTGTAAGTAATTAAAACCGCCTATCACTTACGGTATAAGGAATAAAACATACCCCTGCACAATCTTAAGAGAATATTTTTACTAATTAGTTACATCTTAGATTAATGAAATAATCAATTCCAGTGTAATAAGTTTGATTTTTATTATATGATTAATTTCAGGAGTGATGGCAATCTCACAGCTGGATTTGATGGGGCCTGGCAAAAAAGGGGAACAGGTTGTGCATACAACAGTCTTACTGGTTAGCCTTTCTTCATATCAAAATAATTTTTTGCGAATGCCAAAGAATATTTAGGAAAATCAAATTACAGAAAATACCTGTCTGACTCTCTGATTTTAAACTTTTATAGGGCATGCATCTCTTATTGGTGAGAAAACAAAGAAATGCATAGGAATTTCGGTAATGGGAAAACGTTGTAGAATATGCGAGTCAGCTGAAATGAAAGGGGTCCCTCCAAGAAAGCACAACTGTCCCCGCAACTGGTCTGGGTCAGCTAAGTCCATGGAGCCAGCAATGGCATGCGAGATGCTCCAGGGCATCATAGACCAAGGGCATAGCGTAAATAGATTTTTGGAGTCAACAATTTAATTTGATTATACATGTATAAACAGAAGTTTAGCCAGATTCGAGCAATATCTCTTAGCAAATTGGTCAATACATATTATTTAGCATAATTTGAATTTAAAATATATATAGAATAATTAATTTGTATTTAGTTATACATAACCTGTTTTAAATTTTTGACAAATTTATTTTCAAAATTGTCTTTTGTATGTGTAGGTGCAGACCTTAGTTATGGATAATGATTCAACCACTATTGCAAGGGTAAGGGCAACAGTTGATCCAACTATAACAAAAAAGTCGGATAGCAACCACACAAGGAAAGGGTTCATGGGGAGCCTCGTAGAACTCGGCAACACCTACAAAGTTTTGAAAAACAACAGAGTACGTTCACACATTGAACGTTGTTTTATGTACTGTGTGAAACAGAATTCAGGGAACTCCACTAAGCTTGCTGAGGACTTGAAAAATATAGTTCCCCATTTATATGGTAAGTTTAAATATAAATTTGCTAAACACGATCTATATGAAAATGATCATGGAATATTTTTATCTTTTGATGTTAGGATCATATTATAATATTAATGTTAAAGGTGAGCATGATGAATGTGGAACATGGTGTAGGAGTCAGAAAACCAATTATAAGCCTAAGAATCTGCCATATGGAAAGCCCCTTTCTGACCAACCCCTCCGTGTAGCTCTGGAAAGCCTGATTAACAAGTATATCCAGAAAGCTGATGAACTAGTAGATCTAGGATCAACTCAGAACAACGAAAATTTTAACCACATGGTTGCCTCTAAAGCACCAAAAAGACTGTAAGTACTTCAAATTTTATTCCTTTGTTTTGAGAGAAATATAGGTGGAATTAAAGAAGTTTTGTGTCATTTCTAAATTTTGTATGAAATAATGACAGATTTTATGGAGGTTCTGAGAGTTTAAAAACAAGGGTCTCAGCTACTGTTTGTCAAAAGAATGAGGGCTACAATTATATCACAGAGGTAGAATTAATTGTTGAAATGTTACCAAGTTGTATACTTTGTTGTTTTTATTTAATAATTTGGTTCATTTTGTTATTGTCATTTTCTGTTAAGTTTAATTAATTTTGTTTTCTTTTGCAGAGTTACCGTTTTTAGCATTTTAATTTTAGATTTAATACTTAGGTTCAACGAGACTTTTATATAAAAAGTCATATATATGAGGAAGTCACTGGGACCTTAACCTGAAATTCTTTATATCCATATAAACAACATTGAGATAAATTGCTAAGGGGATTCATGAAAAATTTCTTATAAATGAGATTTCTTTATAACACTTTTAATGTATTGCGTTCCTTAGAAAATTGTTGCAATTTGAATTTATATTACTTGTCAATGTATCTTTGATTGTCTATCTTGTAAACTTGGGTTGCAAATTTGATAGACTTGCATGTTTTATTAATTATTCAATGTGCTGTGAATTTCAGTTGAATAGACGATGTCAGCTGTCCCCTGGAAGGTTTACAGAAAAATTGACATCTAAACTAGCCAGAAAATTAAAAAGACAAAGGTTGGCGCAGGCTCAGAAGAGTGTTAAACGACGCCGGCTGCAGTTGAAAAATGAAAGAACATCAAAAGATGCCACCCAGTCTGTACTCGAAGGTATTATTTCATTTATAATAACAAGAAATTTAAAATAAATTCTGATTGATAAGTTTAGAAACTGAAATATTTCAAATAATACACATAGGTGCAACATACAGCTCAAAGATAGGACTGGAGGAATCAGTTGACTTGGAAGACATCAGCATGGAGCCGAAGTCTGTGTGCCTAGAAGGCAGTTCATTTATAGTTTTTGATCTTGAAACAACTGGACTAGGTAAGTGTTCACTTATAATTCAAATATTGGCAACAAGTTTTCCTTGTCAGATTTTTTTTAGCAACAATTATTTTAAAAAGTTTTTATTTGATGGCTGAGCAGTTTATGCTAAAATTTAAAACTCTTTCTTTGATATAGACAGGTCTTCAGAAATCCTTCAGATAGCATGTGTTTGTGGTACAGAAAAATTTAATGTATACATGAAACCAAGATGCTGCAGCATCAGTATTTCTGCATCTGATGCAACAGGTTAGTATAAAGAAGTTATAATGTTAGCAGAAAATAACTTTTGAGTCCTCCTTCCATCTATTGTTCATTACAAAGTATTTACAGATTAATTCAACATGGTTTTCATAAAACAGGTCTCACATATGTTGGAGGCATTTTGAAACACAATGGAAAAGCTGTACAGTCAACATCAGCATCTGAAGGACTTCAGGATTTCCTCAGGTTCCTGTCGCGGTTTCCGGATTCCATTTTGATAGGACATAATATCCAAAATTTTGATTTACCTGTTCTCCTACACCAGCTGACCAAATATAACCTTATGAAGGACTTTGAGGGGACAGTATCAGGATACATCGATACTCTGAAGCTTTCAAGAAAAGTTATCCCTAAAGCTGATGTCGGAAACTATAGACAACAGAATCTTGTTCAGAAACTGTTGGGAGAAACCTATGAAGCCCACGATGCCATAGCAGATGTTTCTTCTCTACAGAAATTATTTGATCTGAAACTAAAATCACACTGTGATAGTGATGATATATTTCATTTGTCCTACTACAGTTGTAAGGAATCTTTGGATCCACTTGTGAAAGCAAAAGTAATTTCTTCTGTAACATTGAAGAAACTTATTAGCCTCTCTCTAACTATGACAAAACTGCAGGTTATCCACAAGCGAGATCCCCAGAATGGAATTCACAATGTGTTTAGTGAGAACCTACCGAACTCTAAAAAACCAAGAGTTTCAAGATCAAAAGCTGTAATTGGCAAAGTGGTACAGTACCTTTCTAACTTGTAAGGTTTTTTTTGTTTATTTACCTCATGCTTTATGCAGGTTATATTTATACATGTAACATCTAAACTGTTTCAAAATGTGCTCTGTAGTTAAACTACTTTTACTTCACACAATATATGTACACTCGGTTGGACCTCACCATAATGGAGAGTTTTACCATGAACTATCTGGCATGTGAAATATGTAAAACTCTATACATTTGTTGTATTTCACTCTTATTTGGAGAGATTTGAACACATAAAGGTTGTTAATTTGTTTATATGTTGACACATATGTGATTTGCCAGGTTTCCTGTATGATGTTTTAATGGGGTACCCATAGTTTTTTAGTCGTGGCTTAAAATTTAATGTGATGACATATGAATTTTATCTCTTTAATCTGTTCAGTAGATGTCTATCTTTATTTTTAAATTGATTCTAAAAGTTTGGCTCAGAGGAAAATTAAGAAAAATGCGGTTAAGTATTTCTTTCTGTCATGGCGTGTTTAATTTTATTTGGTGGGCATGTTGTATAAATAGTAAAAAAAAATATTCTCCACTGCATCTATTCCATTAAGATAAACAATTTTTATCATAAGGATACATATTGACATAATTTAGCAAAGTATGGACAATGTTTTTAAATTAATATATATTTTGTGAATGTAAATGTAAATGTATGCTTATAGCAGCAAGAGACGAAAATTGAAGTTATGGGGTATGCCTGTATGTTGGACTGTAACAGTAAAAATAATTTGATTACATCAAGTTTTCTTGTGTTTTTCTGTTTAATGAGATGTTTGTTTGTAGATTAAAAACAGTTTTAACTGAATTGCTCAGATATAATCAAAAGCAGGGATGTACCTTAACACCTATCCCAGAGAAAAAAAAAGTAAATTGGAATGCTTAAAAAATAATTATTGTCATACGACAAAATCAAACGACAAATGATAACTGATACTAACAGACACTAACTATTTTCGCATGAGGACTATTGATTACTATTAAAGCTAGTTATTTTCATGAAATCAAGACAGTTTTTTCAGTTTAAGAAGTATTTTATTCATAATATACAAAGTGAACAATATGAATATGGATTGAACAGCCGGCCAAGGGCCTATATTAGTTCTCTCCATTTGAGATCAAGGTACAAATAAATTACTGTACGTATTTTAAGTTTCATAAAACATGTATTATAAATTAATATTAAGAGAATTATAAAATAAAGAATACATAATTGAAGAAAATTGAGGGAAAAAAGTGCATAAAGAAACAATTATATATTTTTTTAAAAAATGATGGAAAAAAACAAACAAAAAATAAAGTAAAAAGAATATAGAGAGGAAGGTTCAGACTCACATTTGTATGTTTATGTGTATTTTCAACCTAAAGGTCAAGATTGAAAGACATGCTTCACATTATTTATTATATTTTCTAATACTAAAATGTTTTAGTGTTTTTTTAATAAAATTATGAACTAAAAGGCAGACAATCATAACCTGATAATACAATATTGACATCTCTTGGTATGACATGGTCACTCATGTATGTAATTAAAGAGTTCCTGGCAAAATAATAACATGGGCATTGAAAGAAAAAATGAACAGAGTCTTCAAAACAATAACCACAATTTAAGCGTTTAGGTGAATCAACTAAGTTATGATGAAACAAGTCTGCATTAAGATTACTAGAGAAGTTTCTCAACTGACAGTGGAGTATATTTGATTTTCTTTGTCCATAATTGTATAATTTTGATTTTGTTTTATCTTCAACATTTTTATTTTGTATACACTCTTTAAACCTTGCTACGCTTGTTACAGATTTTAAGCTGACTGGCAAATCATTCCATAATTTAATTGTAGATGGTAAAAAGCTATTGTAATATGCAACTGTTCTAGTGATTGGTAAGTGATACAAATTATTGCCTAAGTCGTAATTATGTGAAACAGGTAGGCCATCGACCATTTCTTGCAAATATTCAGGTGTATAATCATTAAGTATTTAGTACATAAGTGTAAGCTTATGTTTTGTTCTTCTTTCACTAAGCCTTTGCCATCCTAATTCATTATACAATTTTTGTTTCAAAGAATTGTGCCTTAACCCAGTAATGATACGTCCAGCCTCTATTTGCACACTCTCTAATAGATTACTCTGTTCCTGTGTGCAATTATCCCATACTACATGTCCATATTCTAAAATATGCCTTATAAAAGCAATATAAATACTAATAAGGGAATCTCTGTTTAATTTGTATTTAAAGGTGCGAAGAACATTTAAACGTTGACATGCTTTATCATATATTTTGGATATGTGTTCAGACCAACCGCCATTTGATTGTAAGTCCAAGGTGGCAGTGACTTTGCTGTTGTTTCATGTAACTATTTATATAACCAAATGAGATTTGTGGATGAGCTTTATTTGACCGAGTAAAATTAACATTTACAGTTTTTCTAGGGTTAAAGTCTACCATCCATTGTCTGGACCATTGTTTAATTTTTTCCAAGTCATTAATTAAAGAGACAGTAGGGGCTTGTGTATCAGAGTCTACAATTACAAACAAAGAAGTATCATCTGCATCCTAATACCGAGCCCTGTGGAACGCCTGCATTTATACGTTCTCTAACTGAGGAGTACCCCTCTAATAAAACTTTTTGTTCACGATCAGTAAGATAGTTTTCAATTCAATCCAATATATTTCCTACAATACCATTCTGCTTAGGCTTATATAATAGCCCCTTATGCCAGATCTTATCAAATGCTTTTGATATATCACAGAAAACAAGTCTTACATCTTTGTCTTGGCCTTAACTGCTTATAAAAGTATTGTATATTTCTAGAAGCTTATTTACGGTGGAGTCCCCAGGTTGGAATCAAGACTGATTCTTGGATAAAAGATTATGATCCATAATCCATCATAAAGTTGTGGAGATGTTTGAAAATAATTTTTTTCCATAATCTTACAGAGAATACTAGTTAAAGCAATAGGTCTGTAGTTTCCTGGTTCTTCAGGACTACCTTTATTTTTATAAACTGGTGTAATATTTGATAATTTCCATATATGAGGAAGTGTTTGCTGGTTAATGATGCATTAAACAATTTTGCTAGGGGTGCAGTGATAGACGGAATTATATTTTTCAGTATATGTGGAGAAATATCATCTGGTTCTGGGGATTTGATGGGTTGATATTATGTAATTGATCCTCAACTTTTTGGGGTGCAATGTGAATTGTGTTTATTGAATATGGTGGACCTGGCCCTTCAGGGAGTAGTTTGGATTCTGTGCTGACATCAATATGTGATGTTTCTGCAAAGTGTTTATTAATTATATTAGCTTTATCAATAGGGTGTATATAAATTCTACCATTAGATTTTATTGGTGGGGGTTTAGTTTGTTTTTTAGAAAATTTAGTAATATACTTTACAATTCGCCACCATTTGCCAGATGGTATTGTTCTATCTTATATTTGTGAGGTAATTTTTTCTTTATAGACTTGTTTTGGTTTACGTATCATACTTATTACTTCATTCCTTAAATGACGGTGTCTACTCCATTGATGTTCATTATTATTTGCTTTTGCTTTATAATGTACTCTATTTCTTTGTCGCATCTTACATCTGATAGCACTTGTCATACAATGGTTTATCTGATGGTCTAATGGTCACTACTTTTTGGGGTATATTTTTGTCAACATAATGATTATATATCTTCAAAAAGTTATCATATATGCCATTGATATTGTGTGTATTAAGTACCTCTCTGTCCCAATCAACATTTGACAAATCTGTGCATAGTTGTGAGTAGTTAGCTTTTGTGTAATATTTTAGTATCTTTTATATGAGTGCTGCTTAAATGTTTTAAAATGCAGATCAACACCAACTGGGCTATGAGTGCTACAAAAAGGTGTTAAGATATTTACAGTTTCTATTTTTTCAACAGCATTGGTAAACAAGACAGGAAAGTAGGAGCAACTCAAAAACAATCTACCTTGTCGATTTTTTAAACAAGGTACGAAGAAAATGAAACTGTAAAATTGTACTAGTAAACAAGTGCATGTGTTTTAACTAAAGGTCTCGCGATCGTAATTGAAATATCTTTATGCTGATAATTCATACGTTTTCGTTTGTAAATAAAAAATCACAACTAAGGCATAAAAGGCACATAGGATGGATTGGATTTTTTCATTTAATTGAAGATATAATGAACTAATTTTAACGGGTAAAAAAATACAATCTTCTAACCTTTTGAAATTAGTACATTATATTTTCAAATGTCAAAAAATGAGCAATTTACAAATTTATATGAAGCGTCAAAGTTGGCGTCTTTGAAAGAAAAAAAGAATTATAAGAATGGTCTTAATCATCAGAATCAGTATAAGGTCTTCTATTGGAAACGGTAGACCATAAATATGACTTTTCGTTCCTTTACAAAATCCGTTGGAGGAAATTTATTATGTTCCTAACCATAATCAAAGTTTTAACCTTGTTTTACCACGTTTCAAGTCATGTTCCAAATAAGTTGACACAAAACTGACATAGTGGACAGTAAAATCTCTCTCTCTCTCTCCCCATTTAAACATTTTTATATTAGCCTACAATATGATTTATAAAAATAAAGAAAAAGTACTGTAAATTCGGCATGTTTCCTTTAATCTTAATGACAATCCAGAAACTAAAGAATGAATCAGTAAATAACATAACGTGGATAAATACAAAATTGGTTCCGGAAATAAGTTAATATCATAAGCAACATTTTGAGGCTGTTGGCATGTTGACGCATGTAATTTTACAAATTGAAATTCAATTAAAGATATAGTATATTATTAAGATTCTACAATTAAACAATCCAACACATTTTCCCCCTCCGAAAACATATCTGTATAATAATTTAACCTTGGAATTTACATTTTTTTTTACGTTTTGAGCACACGTTTGAATGCAAAAATTTCAAATACTTTTTTTTCGAATTTTTAAAACACTGAAAATGACATTTTGAAGGCAGTGATGATATCCATAAGCTGGCAAAGTCGAATAACTCTCACTTCTATTTCACCATTACTTTACCAATGATACAATTTTTTATGATCTCTGACGCCGATGAGAGGAACATTTACAGACTCTTTATTGAAGGTCCAGTAAACAATACGACATATATATATATATATATATATATATATATATATATATATATATATATATATATATATATATATATATATATATAGAGAGAGAGAGAGAGAGAGAGAGAGAGAGAGAGAGAGAGAGAGAGAGAGAGAGAGAGAGAGAGAGAGAGAGAGAGAGAGAGAGAGAGAGAGTTGGTTGATTATCTCCTTAATTATATAACCATCAATTTGCTTAATTGCCTAATGCCTTTTTAATGTCAATGCTATTTGTTTGATGTTTTGTTGTCTCATTTAAATTTTATATTTATGAAAACCAAATACTCTTAAAGAGGTTTGATTCATTTGCATAATTAGATGTACGGAATCCTTTTTAGTGTGTTGTGAATAAATAATTATTGAAATACGAGTGACGTAAACATGTCCTTTTCAAACTCAACACTTGGTTTAACACATAATTCTGAACATTAATATTTGTTTAGTCCGTAACTTATACTTATATTAATGATAACTAATAGCTCATAACTACATGTGTTAACCTTTTGGGTAATAGATTTCTACAGTAGAAGGCACTTCCCCTTTACTCAGTTAAATAATTCATAAGTGAAGAAGAATTAGATAAATTATATCCAATCTTTATGTACTTGTCCCAGTTGACAAAGCAGGTTATAACATTGTCATTGCTTGTGATTTGTTTAATTCAGCGGATGCAATGCTCTTGTCATCAAATAGGATATATTATTAACC